GTGGTTGAGAGTATGGGTGGTCGTACGGTGGGTAGCGTAGTTCCACTTTGGTCGAATCAGTCTCTCAACGTCACAGGCTCTGAGGAGTCCCGGCTGATTTGCAAATAACCCTGAAGCTCTCCTGAGTCGAAACACTCGGGAGGTGAAGGAATGTTGGAAGAGTCGAAAGGTTCTCTAGAACAGACGTGAAATCAATTCACTAGGATAGTTATGCCGCAAGACATAATATATGGCTTCAAAAGGCTCGTGAGAATGTGATAAAAATACTTCCAGTGGATCTCGCCCACTCTACTGTGTTACGTTGACATTAGCTGGGCATTCCATTGTCCAGCCACAAAAGTCCTCCGAGTAGACGCGATCGCCTCAGAGGCCGGTTTCCGGCGAACCTTCCGTACAGGTTTGTCTGGCGCCTAACATATGAGCGATAGACAAGACTAAGAAAGAAGTTCGAATTTTTCCTCGGTGAACAACCTGAGAAAATATCCTTACAAAATATTTGCGCGTAATTTTTTTTTTAGACAATGCATAGACTCGGCTCAGGTTTAATTCTCTATGTACGTTAATTACAAACAAGTTGAAACCCACACTTCCTCCTTACAGAACGATTCTGAGAATAAACGAGCCTCATCAAATTCTTCACATTGGTCCTTCGAGCCGGATAGCCGTAAGATCTAAACGTGAGTGAAGTGTTGTGTGCGCGAGCTTCGCAAAGGAAATTGACGTTCAACATCGTCTAGGGCGTGAGACGCCTCTGCCACGCGGTCAACGCGGTTTACATGGGCCAGCCCACGGGACATCAACGGATAATCATCAACCGAAATTCAGCGCGTTTCATCGAATAAATTCTTGGTCGAGTTATCCGCTGTGGTAATTCAGAGAGTTTGTTTACATCGTGTCGGTTAGCAACTGAAATTATCGTAAACGTTGGGATGGCTTCGAATATCGTTGTAGTCCCTTACCTCCATCCATCAGCAAAGTGAGCACCGAGCCTCATCCACGTGTTGGCCGATCATCCCCACTCTCAACTTATCTTTTGAATCGACATTTATTGTAATTCAATGCATGTGTATCATTCTCTCTCACTCGGTTTCAGCTTTATGAAGTAATTGCCAATCATCATGATGAGTAATAGAGAGGAGAAAAATATTGAGAACAATAGGAGTGATGATGTCTCAAACTCCACAATTGGACTACATGAGGTCGTCATTATAGACTCTCCCCTCAAACAATCATACAGACTCATCAACATATAGCAGTTCAACTAAGGGAAGACTTTAACAGGGACGACACACAGTAATAAATTCGTTGTGGACTTCTTGGCAATCCGGTGTAATTGTAACACCGCAATGCCACATCGAAAATGGTGTGGACTCATTGGGACACCGATCGGTAGCAATTTAACATCAAATTGTTTACAGTGCAAAGACGTTCTTAAGATCGATAAAACTCAGAGAAAATTATCGGAACTTCAAACTTGGGGCAATCATCGCTTAAATGGAGAGTATTTATATTACACGGGGAAATTGAACTACATCCTAGTTATTACTGCTCATCAATCTTCGAAAAATCAACATGAACAATTTCATCGGAAGGAAATGGTCCTAACGACAACCCACATGGTTTAAATGTCTGAGTATGAATCACTCACTACTCATTCCTCGAGAAGATAATCAACGAGATGTCGCATCATGTTTGAAATTAGATAAAGGGAAATGTTGAATTTTTTTGATGAAAAATATGAGTTGTGGTTAATCAAAATAACTCTAAACTATAATAACAGAACCATATTGACAATTTACTGTTATTATTTCAGTGACAGTGAAGTGAGAAAGAAAATCAGCGCAGTGAATCATCACCATCGTGCACGGGAACGCAGGAAACAACTGGATCGAGAGGTTAAGCACCCTTTTTCTTCATCAATTTTGACAAATGATACCGCTTACATACAATGTTTCTTTCCCGAGATAAAACAACATCATGGAGCATCACCTCGAAAAATTATCAGCGAGTTCATGATCGAGAGAATTTGCGGTAGTGTGAGGGGCGTGTACCTCAGGACTGCGACGACGACGTTTTACTCAGCCGACTGCAAGATCATCAATCGATTTTCAACATCGACGAACTTCAACAATCGATTTTCATCATACGGCTCTCATATTTTGCAATCAGATGTCATCGGATTTTCATAAAATTATCATCGAAGAACTTCATGAATCGATCTTCAATATCGAAGAATTTTAACAGTCGATAATTATTATCGAAGAACTTCAACAATCGATCTGTATCGTTAAAGAACTTGAACTGTTGACCTGTATCATCGTGCAACTTCAATAATTGATCTTTACCGTTAAGAACTTCAACAAAGGATTTCCACGTTCAGAAAAACTACATTAGTCGTCAATTCAACAGGTTTCTCAGATTACCAAGAATGCCCTTCAACAAATTGCTTCCATTATCAACAAGAGATCGCATCAATGAACACTCATCATCATTGCTCAAGCCACTCGCATTGGTGCTTGAACTCTCGATGCTAATATTAGTCAGGTCATTGACGTCAAGTCATTCAACATTTCGTGGTATAAGAATTGGATCTACTGATCTCAAGGCAACTTTAACTACATGAATCAGGAGAGTTAGGTCTAATTCACTAGGAATTTACGACTCCGGTGTCTTGGACTGCGCCTTACCACATGACAATTAACAGAAGGAAAATTAAAAGGAAGGAACTCATGGATTGATCAACTGGTCCATTATTACATCTTCATACAGCATCGTTAATCGGAGCATTTCAACAAATCTCATCTCCTCCGAGCGAAAACAGATGATCAACAATCAGAGGTGTATCACCTTGATCACCTTGGAGTACATTGCCAATCAGCGGTGTACCACCTTTGACACAATCGTCATTTAAATATACATCATCTTAGAGGTTGTGACAATTAAATTGTCAAGAGCCAAAAATATGTTTATTTCAAAAACAGAGATTCAAATTAATTAATTATGAGTCTCCGGGTGAACTCGAACTCCTGCCCTTCGGGGAAACCACTGGAACAACCTCAAAAGAAAAGAATTGTCATTAATTTTGATTAAAATTTATGGCAAATGACTGAGCAGAGGACCACCCTCGGGAAGAGGACCTCGAGGAATAGAAGAAGACAGCCCTGAGCAAAATCTCTCGGGGCCAACAGGACTTGGAAGCATCAAGAATCGGCTGGCCAACTAGGAACGGCCCTGCTTGGACACCATGGAGAGGAGGGAGCCGAGAACCGGGCACCTTCGTTTTCCGGCCAGAGTTCGAAGCGCTCAGGTCAATGGAAACTCCAGACAAGTCTGGAGATACACCTTCAGGGGAATTGACTCAGCAGGGGACTGGACGCAAACCATTAGGAAATTCGAGGAATTTGATTTGGGACAGACAGAATATAGAAAAAGAAATTATATAAAAATAATGCTCCAGGCCATGGAAGTAGTTAGACGGGAATTGACTAGTTGAGAGAAAAAAGGCAGGGGAGAAACCTCAGGAGAGCGAGGAGAGAATCGAATAGCGAAGCGTGCGAGAATTCTCCCCGAGACAGAGTCGAGTAGAGTCAAGTTTAGTTAACTGTTGAGTAGAGGATTGAGTCGAGCACGCGGCGACCGTTAGCAGGAAGCCAACTATTTGGGAATCTCTGGATTAGAATTTGGAGGATCCAGAGAACCTCGAGCAGTAATTCCACAGGCGGGAGCAGCCTGGAGCGAAATCTGGGTCCCTGGCGTGGAGGATTATCGAGATAAGTGGTAAAAAGAGTAGTTTTCTTTAGTTTGAGGGACGGGACTGAGTCCCGAGCCATTGGGGACTTTAGTCAAGAGTCTTTCGGATTGTAAATTAGTTGAGACGTATTTTCTCGCGTGGCGTGCCTCCGACGCCATTCAAGGGGACTTGAAATGGTCTAATTTTTTATCATCCCAATAATTGTGAGTTGGGCGTTGGAGACGACGATTATTTATAGTTATTCTTGTCTCTTTTGGAAACCTTGGGGTTTAGTAGAAGCGTTACTTCTATTATTATTATTATGACGCAATTTCTCGCTGGGCCATTGAGACGCCACTTAATTTCGAATCATATTGTTACGGAAGCTGTAATTCTGTTTAGAGTCTAATTGATCTTGTGTTAGCGAGAGAGTGAGGAAAACACGAATTTTCCCTCCCTCCGTGTAATTATTTTAACTTTTCGCACTAGCGAGGACCAATGGTCCAGTTCAATTTCCACGAATTTTGATTTGTATATTCTCTTTTCGATTTCTTTCCCACATTATTAATTTTTCTTTCTGTAATTTTTGTCTATAAATATACTCAACTTCTTGTAAACTTAGAATTCTATCCTGTGATGTATGTGTGAGTCGCTAAGCCAGAAGCATTCTGTTTTATCGACCTCTTTGCCTTTACCTGTACAATGGTTGACATGGTATACGTACCTAATAAATATACAACTAGTATCCACGTATATCAGTGCCATCATAATTGATTAAACCCATTTACCCGATCCTGTTATCCACGAATACTTCAGTGGCGACGAGGATAAAAAATTTTGTGGAGCAAGTGTCATATTTTATGAGATATCTGGAAGTAAGTGAACGTCGCATACTGCGAAGTTAGAAATAACGCAGCATAGAGGTACTTCAGAAAAAATATGACGAACTGAAAGCGTATGTCAATGCAAAAGAGAACGAGTGGCAGACATATCGGACTGCAGCATGTGATTCATTACTCCAAAAGGATAATTATATCAAGGAGTTGGATGAAAGGATCCAGGAACAACATGAGCGGATACGGGAGCTCCAAAAAGATATTGAAGGTATGGGACGTATTCAAGTAACACAGCAAGTGAGTAATCTTGCTAGTGCGGGTTCCATTGAGGGTTATTCTAAGAAAACCAATTGGAGTCATTGGCTCCAACGATTGAGCATTTTATCAAAGCAAATGCAGTATCTGGAGACAGACAAAAAGAGCTTTTTCTGAACATGTTGGGTGCAGAAGGCTACATACTCTTGTCTAGTCTGTGTGCTCCTGATCTTCCTGGGATAAAAGAGTATCCAGTGTTGGTTAAGTTGATGTCAGATCATCTTAAGCCCAAGCCAAGTTTCATCACCGAGAGGTTCCGTTTCAACATGTGTAACCAGACTGAAGGTCAAACTGTTAGCGAGTACATTGCCACTCTGAAAGAACTATCGACTTATTGTGAGCATGGTACTGGGTTAAACGATGCATTGAGGGATCGTCTCGTATGTGGATTACGAAACAAAACTACGAGGAAGAAGTTGCTGAGCGAAAAGAATCTGACGTATGAACGAGCAGTCGAGATAGCCATCAGTGACGAGGCTGCCATTCGAGACACTGGGGAGATGGAGACACAGAGGACTACAGGGTCATTGAACTTCGTACAACAACAGAGTCGCGGTAATACTAAGAATTCTGACAGTCATAAACCGTGTAGTTGTTGTGGGAAAATGGGTCATGGAAAATTCAGATGTAAGTACAGATCATGTGTTTGTAACATTTGTCAGGAGAAAGGTCATTTGAGTTCAGTTTGTACAGCAAACAGTGGTAATAATCAGCCAAAACAAAACCAAAGAAGTCGGAAAAATGATTATAAAAATAAGAATTCAGGATCAAATAAGACTGAATCAAGCAATAGAGCAAAGGGGTCGAGTCATAATTATTTAGATGAAGTTATGGAATTAGAAGAAAATTTTGATAATTTTTATACTATTGACGAGAACGATGATAAGACTGAACAATGTAGGGATTCATTAGATTCTAGGCCAATCAAAATTGAGTTGACTGTTGAGAATGCTAAAATGAGTATCGAACTGGATACTGGGTCGCCTATTTCAGCTATCTCTACTGTTGAATATGAGGAAAATCCTCTTTTTACGGTTCTAAAATTATTTTGAAAGTTCTAGGAAATTCAGATCGTATACTGGTGCCCCACTAATACCATTGGGAGTGCTGAAGGTCAATGTGGAATATCGGGGAAAATCTCGTGAATTGGATCTTTTTGTAATGCCTGGATCAAGCGGACCAATTGTTGGAGGTGAATGGATCAGAGCGTTGGAAATACCCTTGGTTGAGGGGTGCAACAACGTTAATATCAAAAGAGTTTCAAATGAAGGTAGTATAGATGTTGATAATTTGAAAAAAGATTTTCCATCGGTATTCACTGAGAAGTTAGGTCGTTTCAATGGGGGAACTTTCAAATTGGAATTGAAGGCTGATAGTAAGCCTATTTTTGTCAAACCAAGGGTATTGCCATACGCAATGATGGACAAAGTAGAACAGGAATTACGAAGATTAGTTGAAAATTATGTTATTTATCCAGTGGAGTCTAGCGAATGGGCGACTCCAGTAGTCCCAGTGATTAAAGACAGTGGGGAAATTCGTATTTGTGGAGATTACAAGACAACCCTTAACAAATGTATTAAAGTTGACAAATATCCAATTCCTCGTATCTCAGATTTGTTGTCAAAGATTAATGAGGGAAAAGTCTATGGCAAAATTGATCTCAGTCACGCTTATCAGCAAGTTGAGCTGGATAAAGATTCACAACTATTAACAAACATCTCTACCTATAAGGGTTTATTCGCTTATAAACGTCTGTGTTTTGGGGTTGCTTCAGCACCTGGTTTATTTCAAAGATTGATGGAAAAACTTCTCTCTGGTATTCCAGGAGTGATAGTTTTTTTTTATGACGTTTTAGTCTTTGGTTCTACCCAGGATGAACACTTTAAGCGGTTGTTAATGGTGTTAAACAAGTTGAAAGAGTCTGGATTAACTGCAAAATTTGAAAAATGTAAATTTTTTGCAAGTGAAGTTAAATTTTTGTGTTTCAAGATTGACCAAGATGGCATTCATGCACTACCTGATAAAGTAAAAGCAATTAATGAAATTCAAATTCCTAAGGATGTTACAGAGCTCAAAAGGTTTCTTGGAATGGCAAATTATTATTCGAAGTTTGTTAAGAATTATACAGAAATTGTTTCACCTCTGTACGAACTGCTCAAGGGTGGTATTAAGTGGTTTTGGTCAAGAAAGCAACAATCAGCTTTTGATGAGATTAAGAAGAAATTAATCTCTAGTGAAGTGCTAATGCACTATATTCATCATCTTCCAATTAAAATCACTTATGATGCATCTCCTGTGGGTCTTGGGGCAGTGTTGTCTTATATCTTACCCGATAAGAGAGTTAGACCAGTGGCGTTCTTTTCGAGATCATTAACTCGAGCAGAGAAAAATTATTCACAACTTGATAGAGAGGCTTTAGCCTTGGTTTTTGTGGTGAAATCGTGTCACCAATTTGTTTGGGGTAGGAATTTTTTACTAGAGACAGATCACAAGCCACTTAAATACATTTTTGATCCAAATAAGAGTCTCCCAAGCAATGTAGCAGGGAGAGTACAGAGGTGGGCAGTCTTTCTCGCTGCTTATGATTTTACTTTGCAATATATTGAAGGTAAAACAACCTGGAGTGCTGATTGTCTATCGAGAGCCCCGATTTTAAGGGGAGAGGAAAGTGATATGATTGAGGGGTTTTCATACATTAATTTCATAGAAGCTGAAGCGAAAATGATTGATATGGAGTTGATTAAATCTGAGCTAAGTAAAGATGAGATTTTGAGTGACGTAATTGAGTATGTTAAAGTTGGTTGGCCTAGTAAAGTTGATAGTTATTTGGAGAGTTATAAGAGACGAGAAAAGGAATTATATCTAGAAGACAATTGTCTAATGTTAGGTAGTAGAGTCATAATTCCAAGATCATTGCGAGCAATGGTTCTTAGAGAACTCCATGCTACTCATATGGGTATTGTAAAGATGAAGTCTCTTGCTCGATCCTTTGTCTGGTGGCCGGGTATCGATGATGATATCGAAAGAATAACAAAGAAATGTGAGCTTTGTTTGGAAAGTTCCACAAATCCTTCTATTGCGGCATTAAATTCATGGAAGTGGCCAGAAGGACCGAACATGAGAATTCATGTTGACTTTCTACAGATTGGTGATAAAATGTACCTGGTTATTATTGATGCATTTTCCAAATGGATTGATGTTAAGAGTATGAAAGACATTACGACGAAACGAACAGTATTAATGTTACAGGAGTACTTTGCAGCGTGGGGTTTTCCAGTAGTATTAGTTAGTGACAATGGTCCTAGCTTGGTATCCGAAGAGTTTGAGTCATTCCTCAAGAGTTGTGGGATTCTTCATGTTCAAACTGCTCCTTATCATCCAGCATCAAATGGTGCTGCCGAAAATATGGTTAAAACATTGAAAAAACAGTTCAAATTGTTATTGAAAGAAGGTTGTAAAGAAGACGTAGCCTTATATCGAGTCTTGTTGTGTTATCGATCCACGTCACATTGCACTACAGGTTGTACTCCTGCAGAGCTTCAGATTGGTAGACCTCTATGGACCCGTTTCGACTTCATGAGACCTAACTTGAGAAGTGACGTCATCCAGCAACAAGAGAGACAGCAGCAGCATGCTCCAGGTGTTAAGCTGAGATCGTCTGATCTGGCAGATATGGTTGTTGCTAAGGACGTCATGACGAATAGGTGGATTTAGGCCGAGATAATAGAGAAATTATCACCTGTGACGTACGGTGTTCGTACGATGGATGGTCGTATTTGGAAGAGAAATGTCAATCAGTTGAAGTCATGTTTGTTGGATAAACCTGAGAAGTCTCCAGTGAACGATGACCAATCAGAGAGGATTCTTATTCCTTTATCGAATGAAGAAGGTCAAATGAAGAATACTACCCTGCTTGGGGATTCACTTATCATTGAAGAGAGCAAAGCGGATGAATTACCTGACTCAGACTCATCTGAGCCTAGAACTAATTGTCAAGATCCGGAACCAACATCTCAGCAGGTAGAACCATCCAATAGTCCACCAACTCCTATTAGAATCCCAGAATCTCCATCTACAATAGGGATCGATCTACCAATCGAGTCTACGCCTGGATTACGTCGATCTGCAAGAGTACGAAAACCTGTGCAACGTCTAAATTTATAGTCGGAACTGTTCCTAGTTTTGTTTGATCTGAGAAATGTCCAATTGATATGATTTCTGTGGTATGATGTTCTCGGATTTAAGTTGGGAGGAATGTGATATATGAGTCGCTAAGCCAGAAGCATTCTGTTTTATCGACCTCTTTGCCTTTACCTGTACAATGGCTGACATGGTATACGTACCTAATAAATATACAACTAATATCCCCGTATATGAGTGCCATCATAATTGATTAAACCCATTTACCCGATCCTGTTATCCACGAATACTTCATATCCTATATTGTTATTTCTTGGAATTCTGGTTGGCCATTGGGAGGCAACGATCCTCCTCTCCCTTGTGCATTAAGAGTCTGGGTAATAAAGTTCGTTTTCTAGTATTTTGTCGTCAATTAAAATGAAATTGGAATTTGTCTATTTCACCAACAGAAATATTTGGAAATAGGCTGGCGTCTAAAGGTAAGTCCAGCGTTGGGAAGCCTTAAGTCCATGGTAGTTTGTGACAAACCCTACGAGTGATTAGAAGTAATTTTCTGAATTTATCTGAAGATCGGCACAAGGTCATCAACAATCAGAAAAGGACTAGTTCAATCATCGTCTAGATCAACGACAATCACAAGTCCAATGGTCACCATTGTCAACATCAACAATGGTTGTCCTCGCAACCGCTAGAATCATCGCTGCAATGTCCTGAACTCACAAAGGATGCATGAGTTTTCGTCATCCAAAGTTCAGAGACATCAATCAATCCTGAACCCCCTCGAGGCCATCATCGTCTTCAATGGACCATCAGCAGTAAAAAAACATGGTCATCGACAATAATCGGAGCATGTGTGGTCTTGTCACTTTCGACCATACAGTCGAGATACGATCCAGGATCTCAACTCATCAGTGCCATTATCGAAAATCAGCTGACGGTGAAAGATACCACGGTCTAGCCTTGATTCATTAACAGTGCGCTAGTCTTGAGAATTTCATCATTCTGAGGCACAATTCATCATTTATGGCTCCATAACCGTCATGGGCGATGCAGAGAAACTCATCGGAGACCAGAGAAATTCATTGTTATCATGTATCAGCCAACGAAATTCACCTAGAATATCATTACCATCGCATCCAAGATATCTCAACAGCTGATCAACGGCAAACGACATCGCCTTAATAAGCAATATCAGAAATCATTGAGAACCGCAACGTAGATCTCACCTACAAGTCATTGAAAGTCAACCTACGATCACCATCAATGAATTAAATCACCTCTGCACGGTGGGCGGTAATGTCTGCCAAAAATCGAGTCTTTAGTCATCATGAAAATGATGTCCAATTGAAAATATCACCAGACAAATCCACACTAGTAGAATTGCGAGAATCAACCGTGAAGGTCGAACTTCCGTATTGTCAACATCATCAATGAAGCGAACATCAACGATCTCACATTTTAATCAAAATATGCGGATCTGCACATCAGGTTAGTTATCGTGAGAAAGAAAACTCACTAAGAAGCGGTGCTCTTGCAAGGAGAGTGGGACAAGGCCGTGTCCTTCGAACACAGCAAAGGCCGATCAATCACCACAAGCCAATTAGGGAAAATATTCCGAAATTCACCACATGAAAAATTCCACGAGGCCCTCATCAATCGTCATAAGCATCAACCATACAATTGCATTGCTTGTTGATGTGTTGAACTTCACCACGAGTGCTGCAGTATATTTACGCCTCTCAACTTCGAATTCAGAGTGGACAGTTTCTCCACCAGGCTGCAGATACCAAAACTTAATTTTTGAAAACATTCATCACTGGCATTTACCCGGAACAGAGGCCACGCATTAAAATGGAAGGATTTTAGGTTGGACAGAGTCACTAAAATCCAAGATATGAGTCTTCAGAAAATGGGAGGCACATCAATCCTACGACAGGCGAGCAGATTGTGGATCAGCAGGTATTAAAATTGCTAATCATTATGCCTCAAGGGAGGAGGATGAAACACCTGGTTCAAAAGTAAGCTCGAGCAATAATACCAATCAAAAGGCAATACCCTCAGGAATGGCGCATCACTCCCGGCCGATCACCGAAAGTCAACATTGACTCCATTGTCCACGGAGAAAAGGTTTTACGTCTCTGAAGCGGACTAGAGAACCTTATCCAGATCTAGATATAACTATTTAGCAATCAACTGACGTCAGTTGCAACAATCAGTGATAATGATAGCAGACACTTATCAATAAAAAAAACTTCCATGGAAGCATTCAGCTAATAATGGTGCTTGTCAGGCGAACATTATCAAAGTCTTCATCAAGAACGTGGTCGAAGTTACCTACAATGACCTTATCAAGGTAATTTTCAAGTACATTACCAAGGTCATTGTCGAAAGTTAGAGCCACAAGGGCTCACAAACTCATGACGCAGCAACTATCTGCGGAGTGACGACATGAGTAGAATTTCAACGTACCTGAAATACATTACTGAATTCACTCATCAAGCCACATCGAAAATTCAACAAAAGTTCGGTTTCAATGGACAGTTTATCAAGCACCTTGGAGCCAGCGCAACAGAAGTTGAATTTGTATTCAATGAGTCAACGGATATTCAACTAGCCCATGAAGAATTTACGACTCATCTGAGATAGGTTGAGGTGATCCCTAAACTAGAGGACCGTAACAAACAGAAAAACAATTCTTTGAAATTCACCAAGGCTATCATCAAGGGAATCATCGTCGAATTGAACAATTTCGGCATGGCGGACGGCATACGCCTCCAGAAATGTACTAGCAACTCATCATACATCCATCAATGCAATAATCATGTATTCAACACACCTTCGCCCACATCAGGCAGAGTTACTGTATCATAGGCGGATGCGTCTCAGTACGTTCTCATCACTCTAGTCCGCCATTTGCGCACGTTATTGAGCCATAAGAGCCCAGCAGATTAGGGACAGATATATCAACATGCACCATTCAACAAGAAAATCAGCATGAACAACAGAATATATTTTCGTTGCAGAATACAATTGTGTCACTAGCAGACAGGGATCTGCGTGACCATCATCAATGACAGAGGCACCAATTTCATCAGAGCTCGACGATAATTGGAAATCATCTTCCACCCTATTGGGGACTCACTTACTAGTCAGTCTGCGATATCACCTCAGGACTCGCATCAGGTGGAATTCATCAAGGATAATACATCCGAAAATTCATAATTCCAGCGAGCAACGCATCTGAGTCATGTTGTCGTTCAACGATAAAAAGCAGATCAACACCTTGCACTGCTAGCAATAGTCTAACCAGGAGACTATTACCCTCATCAGCGAAAGGGACTGTAGAGATTCCAGGATTGAGAGTTGAGTATTATCTTCCATCAAGTATCGCGGTAGTGATACGTGCCAAGACGTATGCGTGAAATGGCCACTACCGCTATACTTATTCCGAAGCGCCTTCCCTTTCCGCTCATATTTCAATTTTCCTGTGTATAAGGATGCTAGTGCGACGAATTCTATCAAAACATGTTTATTCTGGTTTGTTTTGTTTAGGTTTGGAGTCGATTTCAATGTATCGATCTTTCATTCATTTCGATTTTTACCTTCTCCTTCTGACTTGTTTTGTTTGGATTTCGACCTCTATGTCTCGATATTTCAGTATATCGATATCTCGATAGTGAATAAATCGAGTACTCTACACCACTGAGGGTTACGGTTATTAGGTTATCATTGAGGCATAATGGGTTTGCTGACCTCATTCGATTTCGTAGGGGTAAAATGGGTTTTTCGTGAACTGATACGATTTCATTGGGGCAAAATAGGTATTTGCTGAACTCATTCGATTTCGTAGGGGTAAAATGGGTTTTTCGTGAATTCATAAGATTTCATTAGGGCAAAATGGGTGTTCTGTGAACTTTTACGATTTCATGGCGGCAAAATGGCTTTTTCGTGAACTCATACGATTTCATTGGTGCAAAATGGGTATTTTCTGCCCTCATACGATTTCATGGAGGCAAAATGGGTATTTTATGACCATATACAGTTTCATGGCAAAATAGGTTTTTCGTGAACTCATACGATTTCATTGGGGCAAAATAGGTATTTGCTGACCTCATTCGATTTTTTGGGGGCAAAATGGATCGTTCTTGTACTCCTACGATTTCATGGGGGCAAAAAGGGTTTTTAGTGTACTCCTACGATTTCATGGGGGTAAAATGGGTATTTTCTGACCTCATACGATTTCATGGGGGCAAAATAGGTTTTTCGTGAACTCATAGGATTTCATTGCGGCAAAATGGGTTTTTCGTGAACTCATACGATTTCATTGGGGCAAAATGGGTGTTCTGTGTACTTTTACGATTTCGTAGGGGCAAAATGGATTTTTTGTGAACTCATACTATTTCATGGGGGCAAAATGGGTATTTGCTAACCTCCTTCGATTTCATGGGGGTAAAATGGGGTTTTCGTGAACTCCTACGATTTCATTGGGGCAAAACGGGTATTCTGTAAACTTTTATGAGTTCATGGTGGCAAAATAGATTTTTCGTGAACTCATGCGATTTTATGGCGGTAAA